GTAAAATTCGGAGATTTGAAACTCAGTTGCATGCCTGAGATAAAAAGGCGTGCGTGGTCAAAGGCCTGGTGAACACAGAGTTGGGATGGAAACTGGAGAGACAAGAGTGATTAACTGCTTTTCTGTGAGGGATCACTAAAGAGTGGGGGGTGCGAACTTTCAACTCCAGGGCTAGAGAGCGGGATGCTGCGATTTTCATCCCTCCCATCGGTGCTGAAAGCCTTCAGGGAACAAAACAGCACCACATAGTAGAATCCTGAGCCGCTTACACTGAGCCCGGCCACCTGGCAAGAGAGGTGCATTTCCACCAGGGCAAGGGCACATAAGAATCAGTGCAACAGGCCCCTCCCCCGGAGGATGAACAGGAATGACTGGTCCACACCAAGTTTACTGATCATAGCTGCAAAGCTTCAGCTCTTGGGAAAAACAGTATATAGCATCCATGTTTGTTTGTTTTTTTAATTCTTAATGCTTTCAGTATTATTTTTTCAATTATTTTATTTTTTCAATTCTTTTTTATTCTTTAATTTTTATTTTTATATATACGTTATATATATTATTTTATTTCCTTTCCTTTCATTGTATTTTATTTTAATTTATTTTTGTATATACATATGCTTTTCCTTCTTTCTTATTTTGGATCTAGTTTCTTTTAATAAGCAGACCAAAATACAGCCAGGATCTAGTATTTTGTTTTCTTCTGTTTTGTTCCTGGTTAGATTTTTTCTTTTGTTTTGTTTTTCTGGTTTGATTTGTGTTTTTTTTCTGTTGTCGTTGTTATTGTCGTCTTTTTCTTTCTTCTGTTCTTTTCTGAACAAAATCACGAAATGGAAAATTTCACCCCAAAAGAAAGAACAAGAGGTAGTACTCACGCCAGGGATTTAATCAATACAGATATAAGTAAGATGTATGAACTAGAATTTAAAACAATGATTATAAAGATGCTAGCTGAGCTTTAAAAAGGCAGAGAAGACACTAGAGAATCCCTTACTGTAGAAATAAAAACACTAAAATCTGGTCAGGCCTAAAATAAAAATGCTATTACTGAGATGTAGTCCCAAATGGAGACTCTAAAAAGGAGGATAAATGAGGCAGAAGAGAGAGTAAGTGATATAGAAGATAAAATGATGGAAAATAAGGAAGCTGAAAAGAAGAGAGAAAGAAAACTACTAGATCATGAAGGGAGACTTAGAGAACTCAGTGATTCTATAAAGCAAAATAATATCGGGATAATAGGGGTCCCTGAAGATGAAGAGAGGGAGAGAGGAACAGAAGGTGTATTTGAACAAATTATAGCTGAGAACCTCCATAATCTGGGGAAGGAAACACACATTCAAGTCCAGGAGGCACAGAGAACCCCTTCAAAATCAATAAAAATAGGTCAACACCTTGACATATAATTGTGAAACTTGCAAATTTCAGAGATAAAGAGAAAATCTTGAAAGCCGCTCAGGACAAGATGTCTTTAAGCTAAAAGGGTAGACACATAAGGCTGGCAACAAAACTGTCCAAAAAGACCTGGCAGGTCAGAAAGGACTAGCATGATATATTCAGTGTGCTAAATGGGAGAAATATGCAGCCAAGAATACTTTATCCAGCAAGGCTGTCATTCAGAATAGAAGGAGAGATAAAGAGTTTCCAAGGCAAACAAAAACTAAAGGAATTTGGGGTGCCTGGGTGGCTCAGTCGTTAAGTGTCTGCCTTCAGCTCAGGGTCCTGGGATCGAGCCCCGCATTGGGCTCCCGCTCAGCGGGAAGCCTGCTTCTCCCTCTCCCACTCCCCCTGCTTGTGCTCCCTCTCTTGCTATATCTCTCTGTCAAATAAATAAAATCTTAAAAAAAAAAAAACTAAAGGAATTTGTGAACACTAAACCACCCCTGCAAGAAATATTAAACGGGATCCTTTGAGTGAAGAGAGCCCCAAAGCAATAAAGACCAGAAAGGATCAGAGACAATATACAGGAACAGTAACTTTACAAGTAATACAATAGCACTAAATTCATATTTTTCAATAATTACTCCAATCAAAAGACATAGGGTATCAGAATGAATAAATAAACAAGTCTCATCAATATGCTGTTTACAAGAGATTCATTTTAGACCCAAAGACACCTCCAGATTGAAAGTGAGGGGGTGGAGAACCATTTACCATGCTAATGGACACCAAAAGAAAGCTGGGGTGGCAATCCTTATATCAGAAAAATTAGATTTTAAACCAAAGACTGTAATAAGAGATGAGGAAAGACACTATATCATACTTAAAGGGTCTATCCAACAAGAAAATCTAACAATTGTAAATATTTATGCCCCTAGCTTGGAAGCACCCAAATATATAAACCAACTTATAATAAACTTAAAGAAACTCATTGATAATAATGCAATAATAGTAGGGGACTTTAACATCCCACTCACAGCAATGGACAGATCATCTAAGCAGAAGATAAACTAGGAAACAAAGACTTTGAATGACACACTGGACCAGAGGGACTTCACAGATATATTCAAAGCATTTCATCTGAAAGCAGCAGAATACACATTCTTCTCAAGTGCACATGGAACATTCTCCAGAGCAGATCACATACTGGGTCACAAACCAGGTCTCAACTGGTACAAAAAGATTGAAATCATACCACGCATATTTTCTGACCACAACACTTTATTTTTTTAAAGATTTTATTGATTTGTATGATAGAGAAAGAGAGAGAGAAGGCATGAGCAGGGGGAGGGGCAGAGGGAGAAATAGACTCCCCGCCGAGCAGGGAGCCTGACATGGGGCTTGATCCCAGAACCCTGAGATCATGACTTGAGCCAAAGGTAGCCACTTAACCAACTGAGTGACCCAAGTGCCCCTGACAACAACACTTTAAAATGAAGTCAATGACAAGAAAAATTTGGAAGGACCACAAATATATGGAGGTTAAAGGGCATCCTACTAAAGAATGAATGGGTCAACCAGGAAATGAAAGAAGAATTTAAAAAAACATGGAAGCAAATGAAAATGAAAATGAAAACATGACAGTTTAGAACTTTTGGGATGTAGCAAAGCCAGTCTTAAGAGGGAAGTATATTGCAATACAGGCCTTTCTCAAGAAACAAGAAAAGTCTCAAATACACAACCTAACCGTACACATAAAGGAGCTGGAAAAAGAACAGCAAAGAAAGCCTAATCCAGCAGGAGAAAAGAAATAATAGATTAGAGCAGAAATCAATGATATAGAAATCAAAAAAAAACCAGTGGAACAGATCAACAAAACTAGGAGCTGGTTCTTTGAAAGAATTAATAAGATCGATAAACCCCTAGCCAGATTTATCAAAAAGAAAGGAGAAAGGACCCAAATAAAGTCATGAATGAAAGAGGAGGGATCACAACCAACACTGAAGAAAAACAATTGTAAAAGAATATTATGAGCAATAATAGGCCAACAAATTAGGCAATCTGGAAGAAATGGATGCATTCCTAGAAACATATAAACTGCCAAAACAGGAAGAAATAAAAAACCCGACCAGACCCCATGACCAGCAAAGAAATTGAATCAGTAATCAAAAATCTCCCAACAAACAAGAGTCCAAGGCCAGAGGGCCTCCCAGGGGAAGACTGTCCCAGAAGACAGTCACATGCAAAAAAATGAAATTGGACCACTTTCATACACCATACACAAAAATAAACTCAAAATGGATGAAAGACTTAAATGTGAGACAGGAATCCATCAAAATCCTAGAGAAGAACACAGGCCGCAACCTCTTTGATCTCAGCCACAGCAAATTCTTGCTAGAAACATCGCCGAAGGCAAGGGAAGCAAGGGCGAAAATGAACTATTGGGGCTTCATCAAGATAAAAAGCTTTTGCACAGCAAGGGAAACAGTCAACAAAACTAAAAGGTAACTTAAGGAATTGGAGAAGATATTTGCAAATGTCTATATAGGGCTAGTATACAAAATCTATAAAGAATTTATCAAACTCAATACCCAAAAAACAAATAATCCAGTCAAGAAATGAACAGAAGACATAGACATTTCTCTAAAGAAGACATACAAATGGCCAACAGACCCATGAAATAATGCTCCACATCACTTGGCATCAGGGAAATACAAATCAAAACCACAATGAGATACTACCTCACACAGGTCGGAATGACTAAAATTAACTATTCAGCAAACAACAGATGTTGGTGAGGATGCCAAGAAAGGGGAACCCTCTTACACTGTTGGTGGGAATGCAAGCTGGTGCAACCACTCTGGAAAAGAGTACAGAGGTTCCTCAAAAATTTAAAAATAGGGGGTGCCTGGGTGGCTCAGTCGTTAAGTGTCTGCCTTTGGCTCAGGTCATGATCCCAGGGTCCTGGGATCAAGCCCTGCATCAGGTTCCCTGCTCAGCAGGGAGCCTGTTTCTCCCTCTCCCACTCCTCCTGCTTGTGTTCCCTCTCTCACTGTGTCTCTCTCTGTCAAATAAATAAATAAATAAATAATCTTAAAAAAAAAAGTTAAAAATAGAACTAACCTATGATCCAGCAATCACACTACTGGGTATTTACCCAAAGGATACAAAAGTACTGATTTGGAGGGGCAAATGCACCCTGATATTTATAGCAGCATTATCAACAATAGCCAAACTATGGAAAGAGCCCATCGACTGGTGAATGGATAAAGAAGATGTGGTGTATATATATAATGGAATATTACTTGTCCATCAAAAAGAATGAAATCTTGCCATTTGCAATGACATGGATGGGGCTAGAGTGTATTATGCTAAGTGAAATAAGTCAGTCAGAGAAAGACAAACACCATATGATTTCACTCCTTTGTGGAATTTAGGAAACTAAACAGATGACTGTGTGGGAAGGGAAAAAAAGAAGAGAGAGAGAGAGAGAGGTAAACAATAAGAGACTCTTAAAAACAAACAGGCTGGTTGCGCAGTAGTGCTAGCAGCTTCCCTCTTCCGTTCTTGGAACCTGCGGCACTCCCTCGTGCTGAGCTGCTACGAAGCCCCTGCTGGCAAGCTTGTAGGAGCTTGGAACCAACGTCACCCCTCCGTCTCTCACCAGGGGGAAAAAAATGGTTGAAGCAGATCTCCCAGGAAAGCTTTTCATTGGTGGTCTCAATACAGAAACAAATGAAAAAGCCCTTGAAGCAGTATTTGGCAAATATGGATGAATAGTGGAAGTTCTATTGATGAAAGACCATGAAACCAACAAATCGAGAGGATTTGCTTTTGTCACCTTTGAGAGCCCAGCAGATGCTAAGGATGCAGCCAGAGACATGAATGGAAAGTCCTTAGATGGAAAAGCCATCAAAGTAGAACAGGCCACTAAACCATCATTTAAAAGTGGTAGACGTGGACCACCTCTACCTCCAAGAAGCAGAGGGCCTCCAAGAGGTCTTAGAGGTGGAAGAGGAAGAAGTGGAGGAACCAGGGGACCTCCCTCACGTGGAGGGCACATGGATGATGGTGGCTATTCCATGAATTATAACATGAGTTCTTCCAGGGGACCACTTCCAGTAAAAAGAGGACCACCACCACGAAGCGGCGGTCCTCCTCCTAAAAGATCTGCCCCTTCAGGACCAGTTCGCAGCAGCAGTGGAATGGGAGGAAGAGCTCCTGTGTCACGTGGAAGAGATAGTTACGGAGGCCCACCTCGAAGGGAACCCCTGCCCTCTCATAGAGATGTTTATTTGTCCCCAAGAGATGATGGATACTCTACTAAAGACAGTTATTCAAGCAGAGATTACCCAAGTTCTCGTGATACAAGAGATTATGCACCACCACCAAGAGATTATATTTACCATGATTATGGTCATTCCAGTTCACGTGATGACTACCCATCGAGAGGCTATAGTGATAGAGATGGCTATGGTCGTGGTCGTGACTATTCAGATCATCCAAGTGGAGGTTCCTACAGAGATTCATATGAGAGTTATGGTAACTCACAGAGTGGTCCACCTACACTTGGGCCCCCACCATCTTATGGTGGAAGCAGTTGCCATGATGATTATAGCAGCTCACGTGATGGATATGGTGGAAGTCGAGACAGTTACTCAAGCAGCCAAAGTGATCTCTACTCAAGTGGTTGTGATCCAGTTAGCAGACAAGAAAGAGGGCTTCCCCCTTCTATGGAAAGGGGGTACCCTCCTCCACGTGATTCCTACAGCAGTTCAAGCCACGGAGCACCAAGAGGTGGTGGCTGTGGAGGAAGCAGATCTGATTGAGGGGGAGGCAGAAGCAGATATTAAAAACAAACAAAACTTTGGACCAAAATCCCTGTTCAAAGAAACAAACAAAAAAGTGGAACATTTTCTGTCATAACTACCCAAGGACTACTAAAAGGAAAAATTGTGTTACCTTTTTTTAAATTTCTTAAGTTCCCCTTCCATAATTTTTATGTTCTTGTGAGGGAAAATAAAGTAAAACCTGTTTAATCTTATTTGACTTTATGACATTGCTTTCAATAAGCAAATGTTAAATGTGTTAAGACTTGACTTGTGTACTAGTGTTGTAATTTTTCAAGTTAAAAGTGTCCCTAAAGGCCACTTCTTATATCTGATTTTTCCCAGTAAATGAGGCGAAGCAATTCTAAGACCTTCCACAAACATCTAGCCATCTAAAATGGAGAGATGAATCCTTCTGCCTATACAAACAAGCTAGCTATTAGAGGGTGGTCGGGGTATGCTACTCTAGGATTTCAGAGTGTCTTCAAACTGAAATCTTAATGTTCTCAGTATGAAAAACCTGAGATCAGATGCTTATGTAAGGAAAATGCTTTTCACCCAGTAAACCCAAAAAAGCAAATGGATAATGCTGGCCATATATTGCCTTTCTGACATTTCCTTGGGTATCTACAAGAACATCTCCTTTCCCCTCCCCCAATAAGACCATTTAAGTGTGTGTTAAGCAACTACAGAATACTAAATAAAAAGTTTGGCCAAAACCAAAAACAAAAAACAAAAAACAAAAACTGAGGGTTGGGACGCCTGGGGGGCTCAGTCAGTTAGGCATCTGCCTTCAGCCCAGGAATAAATCCCGCCTGGTCATGGTGAACAATCCTTTTAATGTACTGTTGGATCCTATTGGCTAGTATTTTGGTGAGAATTTTTGCATCCATGTTCATCAAGGATATTTGTCTGTAATTCCCCTTTTTGATGAGGTCTTTGTCTGGTTTTGGGATCAAGGTAATGGTGCCCTCATAAAACAAGTTTGGAAGTTTTCCTTCCATTTCTATTTTTTGGAACAGTTTCAGAAGAATGGGTATTAATTCTTCTTTAAATGTTTGGTAGAATTACTCTGGGAAGCTGTCTGGCCCTGGGCTTTTGTTTGTTGGGAGATTTTTGATGACTGCTTC